AATGCACGTGGTATTTAATATGTAAGGGAAGTATGTACAGAAAAAAGTGGGAAGCGTCAAAGTTAGAGTTACCACGATGGATATAAAATATAGCTCTGAATGTTATTTCGGAAGCAGTCAAGGTGAAGAAGGTTAAGTAGAAGAAAGAAAGAGGTTATTTGTTTTTCGTATATATAGTTAAGATGTTTATGTATATTTATATTGTGTGGGTATGTATAGTTTTATATCGTTAGGTTATTTTATAATATCTCCGGGGGGGGGGGGGGGGGGGGTCAGGGAAGATCGTTAAATACGTCGGTTTTAAAACTATCGAATAGGGCCACTCAAACATTCGATCAGTCAATACCAAATATGTCACCTTTTAATCCATATACGACACTCGCAAGAATATCTTCTCAGAACAAAATCAAACGTAAAGGCAACGGAGAGTGTGATTTTCTCGATCCCAAGTAAACTGTGTACTGAATTTGGGAGTTGGGAAAAAGGTGCAAACGGGATGGGATGTTACTTATACGAATCGGTATCATAGATAATATGACTCGTGTATACATTAATTTATACAATCAACACGTTTTGTGTTGGGTACACAAGATTGAGGGTTGTTTGTGTGTGAGACTGTGAAACCGGTTGTAAGCGAAAAAGGGTGGAATTTTGGTTTGTTTTTACTTGGAGTGTGTAAATTAGATGCAGGCATATGCAAGAAACATTAACAATATTATCTTGTGGTTGCGTGTACTAGAGTTAAATATAGCTTTTATGTATCATTATATAAATAACATATTACCAATCAGCTAGTCATACCGTATTTCCTATCATCTGGGTACATTCCTCATTCGGTCTGCTTCTTATACATAATATCAGTTCTGATTACATACTTTCTACCCTCAATAAGCTTGGAACCTTCATGCCAAAGAGGATGCTCGAAAACAAGCACCATTCCTGTTTCCGGAACCACAGGCACTTTTGCTTCACTGTAATTGGCAACAAACGAAGTCTCCCCACCGACGAACCCCTCATTCAGATATAATTGCAAAGTTAGAAAACTCCGCTCGCTCCCATCCGGTCTTACATAGCTGCCATCCAAATGCGCTTTAAACTCTTCCCCCGGGTCATATCTAAGGAATCGGAACCGCTCGTTCAATCCAGCCGCTGTATACCCATTCCAAGTCTCGGGAACAAATTGTCGAACACGTTGCCAGAGCGATTCAGCAAGTACGGGGTCATCCCGAATGTAACGTGAATTGTTCCGGACATCCGTTCGGAGTTCCTGTCGTCCGCCACCGACGTTGATTAATGCTACTTCATAATTGTTTGATTCAGAGAGAGCGATCAAGTCGGCGCATTCTTCCCGAGTACAGACTTCACGAACGGTAAAAACTAACGGTTCTGAAATGACGAATTGACGTGCTGCACTAAGAACGGGACTTAAATCCACTGCAGTTGCGACTAGTTTCTTGGTCAATGGCGATGAGAGTATTGTGGACATTAATCCGTTATCTCTTTTTTTGGGAAGAGTGGAGTGGGGGATGGGGAACGGGTTGTTACTATTACTATCTTGGTCTCTTAATGTTACGACTATCACAGTTGATAATCTCGTGAGTTGGTTCGGTATACCTTTGTTTGTAATTATTCTATGAGGGATTGATCCTATAACGATAGTGATAATAACTATCGGAGCTTCACCCGTCTTATAAATACCGAGTAAGATTGTTGTAAAAACTGCTGCGCAGTAATAATGCACCAGTCTTATAAATACCCGAGTACGGATTGTTGTAAAAACTGCTGCGCAATAATACCGCAGTGTCGACTGTTTCTCCCAGTCACACCATACTTGCATAAGATAGTATGTGCCCGACTCCCTTTAACGTCTGCACGACAAATAAACGAAAATTTATCCGTGATACGAAAGAGAGATTAATATGGAAGGTGGGAGGGAAAAAAAGTTTATCGTAACAATAAATGAATGGGGAAAAGGAATAGGAGAAAAAAAAACTTTGCAGGGTTATTTGTACATTGTTCACGTTTCTATCGTGCAAGCAGCATACAACGGACATATTTCCCCTCCACACAAACGCATATTCGTCTCTTAGTAGCACTGCGGCAGATCTCGGATATCTGCTCCGAACGACTGTCACACAAACATGGAAATTATAATGATACAATAGTAATGGTGATATTATAAAATTATAATTATGCAATATAAATAAATGAATATGTTGATGTACGTCATCGATTGTACAATGAATGACATAACTCGACTCACGTCTTTTTGTTGTCCAATTTCGACGCTTTCTAAGCCGAGCGTTATAAAAGCTTGTCCCATTGCTGAATAATAGTCATATGATCAAGGCACTTTAAAAATTCGTCAGTTAATAGCTGCGCATTGGTTTAGAATGGTCTTACAAATCGGATTGTGCAGTTAGCTTTCCTTGCAGCTGGGACTGTAAACAGACTTGGTTTTTTATCAACCTTGTTATTTATTTTTTTATCAGGGTTTTGTTTATATTTGCGTTTGTGTGCGTGCATGTTCGAGAAAGATTGATGCTTTACCTTTTAAATTTATTCTCTTGCGTTAACGTTCAATTCTCTTGCATTAATGTTTTTGTTTTCGGATAAAGCGATCATGGCCCAAAAGGTAATGATTGTTGGAATCGGAATTTTTTCATGCAAATAGAAATTCAGACACAATAACAAGGAAAAAGTCTAAATGTTCGCTATAATTGGCATGTCGTTTCACATGGTTTTTATCCCGAATTTGAGCTTTTATTCTATAGATATTTAACTGTGATACTATTACTGATCTAACAATAATAATGAACAATCGCTTTACCTCTGCTTGCTCGGGGTTATTGATATCCCACTAGTGTTGGCATATATTAATATATATTGTTATATTGGTTACTATGCCGGGTATTTATTCCAAGGTTGAATTTACACGTAATGTGAGAATTCTATGATTTGTAATAGTCTTGCTTATTGGATCGTTAAAATAAGTCATTTGCATACAATATTAAAGAGATTAATAACTTACTGTATTAATACTTGGCAATTAATACTTTGAATAATTTACACAAACCACTAATAACTGTCTCTGTTAGCAGATACACGTTAAAACTTTAATTAACAACTTTTCATATCCATCAAAACCCGGAAAACGGATCATACAATGGACACTTGGCTATTGAGTCAAAACCCTATGAAAAATGGTGATTATAGGAAATGGTTACTATAAGACAGGGTTGTTATTAATGAAATTGACCCTGGAGGGGATGGTGTGACTATAGACGAAGGGACTGTAGATAGGGGGGTGGGTGACTGCACATGTTATGATCATAGTTGTGCGTAAAGGTGATGATATCATGACAATCTGGCAATCAGCTCCTCGCAACATTTGCGTTTATTTTGTTCAATCCGTAAAAAGTACCGGTCTTTCAACAGGATTAATTAGAACGATCTACGCAAATGACTTGTCTACACATCCCATTGCCGCGAATTAGTAATAGTCAGAGTTAGGTTAAGGAACTTACTTTCCTCGCCTCGTTAGATCGCTTCCTGAATTTGTAATACGCACAATTTTGTACAAGATGCAATCAAGGGGGGCCAAGAAAAGAGCAGGAAAGGCAAGTGCGGGGGTTGAAAAGGGAAGACGAATCTAAGTCTATTATGTCAATCACATGGAGACTCGTTAAAAATAACATGCGTACTACGCTATATTAATTAATATCATAGTAAGAATAGAAATAATAGAATTAAGATTATTCGACATAATGAACCCGTCAGACAAACGAAGTGAGGATCTAAAACCACAACCCAAACTGTTGGAACTCAAAGCAATCATCAAAATCTTGACAAATCTCACTGCATAGTACAAACATTATTATTATTAGACTCTGATATTGCCATAATTATATAGAACTCTATGGGCACGCATATAATGTAATTATTGGATGTACCATTTATATCGAGCAGTTTATAACAGCCTTTTATGACAATGAAGCACAAAACGCAAACTAAATAAGCAATTAGGGGATTATATCAAGTCTTCGTTTAACAACGCTGACATCAAGATGGATGGTAGCGATCAAGATAGAGATAGGATGGTGACGTTGAGAGATAAAGTTAAGATTGTGAGAAGATAGAGATGGATGGAGTAGAAATTGAGATAGTGATAAAGATAGATAAGATAACAAACTTCAAAAATGGCAATGGAACAGTTTGACGATGCAGATACGACAAGCTTATCACATTATCGTACAGAACTCTGTTTGATTCTATTCGATTTGATGGGACACATTCGATGACTAACCAATGCAATGGTGCTGATTTCGATCGTGCTATCCTATCTTATCACTATTGTTACATGCTTTTTATTTCCATTCAAGCCACAGGATTCATTTTGCCTTTCATTTGTCATAATTGAGAATACCTAAATTACAATGAGATTTGTCGGGAGAAATGCTACTGCTAATTTGTGACTCTCAATGTTAGAAATAGGTTACGTTTATTTGAAACGGTATAATAATATGTCCACTAAATGAAATGACACAAGGTTTTGTATCATAGAGTTACATAGACTATATAAGTATACGCTCAATATGGAATGGGCGAGTCTAAATTTACCACAGCAAATAACCATAGGGTACTACAAGTAATTTGAAGACATTCACTGAATCCTTGGCAATACAACATGGGTGTCGCTAATAAATATTTTAACGAATTGTTGGAGAGCGAGGTAAAAATTAATAACCCGTAGGTCAATAATGACCGAACATTTACTAAATAACAATCAATAGGTACTAATCAAACACAGCCCCCCCCCCCCCCCCCCCCCCCCCCCCCCCCCCCCCCCACAACCACCCCCCCCCCCACCCCCCCCCCCCCCCCCCCCCCCCCCCCCCCCCCCCCCCCCCCCCCCCCCCCCCCC